CACAAAACACTGTTGCTGTATGTAGGTTTTATTTTATTTGTCTTTTATCTTATATTTTGGAAATGTAGATCCAGTGGTTTCCCCCCCCCCCTTTAAATTTTTTTGGGGCCCCAAGAGAGTGAGGCCCTAAGCTATAGCTTGTTTAGCTTATACAGTGGTACCTCAGGTTACATACGCTTCAGGTTACATATGCTTCAGGTTACATACGCTTCAGGTTACAGACTCTAACCCAGAAATAGTACCTCGGGTTAAGAACTTTGCTTCAGGATGAGAACAGAAATCGTCCTCCGGCGGCAGCGGGAGGCCCCATTAGCTAAAGTGGTGCTTCAGGTTAAGAACAGTTTCAGGTTAAGAACAGACCTCCGGAACGAATTAAGTTCTTAACCTTAGGTACCACTTATACGTAAATCCAGCACTGGTAAGGTCTGTTTGTAGGAGGCACACGGCTGCCCCCCATTGGAAACGCAACGCCGGGTCAAAAACGTCCCAATCGAGGCAGGCCGCTCGCGTTTCCGAAACGCGAAATTAAGTATTCTCCCTTTGCTTTTCTTCGGCAGTCCAAAGAGTCGTCTTCGGTGCTGAGCTGCGACATCTCGGCCAACGACAAATTCATCGTGACGGGATCGGGAGACAAGAAGGCCACCGTTTATGAACTGGTGTACTGAGAAGGAAAGAAGGAAGGAAGGAAGGAAGGAAGGAAGGAAGGAAGGGAGGGAGGGGGCTTGGCTGTCCTTGTAATTTTCATATTTTGTTTTTTCGGACTCCCTCCCCCAGCCGGAGCCTCTAGCTCCCACCTCCCTCCGACAGCCGTGAACTTGACGGACAGAGACTTGGCCAGGAAATCCTATCCGGCGATCTTCCCTTTTGACGTCGCTCGCCGTCTCATGAGGACTAGGAACCTCCCTTTTTTAAACTGAAAGCAGCGGCGAACGTTCTCAGGAAGCTGCGCTGGAATCATGGGGTCCCCAAGCAGTTTTGCTCACCTAGAGGGGTCTCCCTGCCACCTCCACCCCCCATGAACAAAGGAGATTCTCCCCTTCCCCACACTTTGATTGACAAGCAAGAGAGACCAACCGCTGCCCTTCTCTACGTCTCCTGCCAGCCCCTTCTGACCACACAGACGTTTGAAAGCACCGCCGACTTTCCCCTCTGGTGCGTGCTAAAGAAATCAGCCGTCTTAAATCGCCCCCTAATTAAATGTGTTGGAAAACGGCGGCTAGATCTGTGGGTCCACGTGGGGTGGGTAAGGGGAGAAGCAATCACAGAATGGATTATCAGTGTCAGGTGGGACCCCCAGAGCTCATCCAGCTCCACTCCTTGCACGCCGCTAAATAAATCCCTGACGCGATCGGCTGCGGAAGCAGAAGCCATTGTTCATTAACTGGAAGGACTGGCTCAAAAGTCGCAGAGAGCATAGCTGTCAACCGTCCCTTATTTGGCGGGACAGTCCCTTATCCCAGCGCTGTGTCCCGCTGCTGTCCCTTATTGATGATGTCCCTTAAATTTCCTGGGTTTCAAAGGAAGCAGCTCCTCTCCCTCCCTCCCTGCCGGCCAGGGAGGAGGGAGGCTCCAACTGGGTTGCTTGGCTGCGTTGCTCACCCAATAAGGAGTCTAAGAACGACTGGGGGGTGGAGCTTGCATGCCTTGTGCCGATCAAGTCGGCCGCATTGCCTGGGGACTCGCCTTTGCTCAGCGCTTCCCAGCGGAGAGGTGATTGGTGGTTTTCCTTGCTGCATCCCCTTTGCCGGGTTGCTGCGCTGTGGGAACCACCGCTTGAGGCTTCGTTGGGCTGCTGGCCGGGCTTTCTGCCTTTGGCTCGGAGGGGCTCAGAGGTCAAGCATACCTGTGTTCTGAAAATCCCTTATTTTGGCTGCTGGTCCCTTATTTTCAAATCTGTTAGTTGACAGCTATGGCAGAGAGACGGGGAAGTTTTGGGGTCTAGGAAAGGCTGCCTTCGTCAGGCCGGGAGGGGAGAGAGGGAAAAGGCAGAGTGAGGGGTCCTGTTTGGCTTGCGGCGCCCTTTTCCCCAAACCCCCACCCAGTTCCTTCAAACTTCACCAGGGTTTCTGCGCTACGGTTCCCAGAATCCCCTGCGAGAAAGGATTGACTAACCCCTTCGAGTATCGCAGCACCCTGAGCAAACTTCACTTCCCAGGGCTCTTTTGGGTGGGGGGAGGGATGGCTGTTCAATATAAAATGGGGAAAAACACAGGTAAAGGGCCTTCTCACCCCCCCCCATAAAAACCTTGCTGTAGGTAACTAGGGGGGAAAAGACATTGAACAGCTCACCTGGGCCAGCCGACCATTCCTCGCAGTGTGGAATTGCAGTGTGACGACATCATTACATTTCCATTTATATAGGCAGATAATGAGGTTTTTTGAGTTTGTCTCCGCCATCCAATTTGTTTATTCAATGATGACAATTAAGTATCAGTGGAATTTTCTGGTTTTGTGAACACCTGAGGGATCTCCCCCTCTTTCTCAATCTCTATATAAAAGCTCCCCCCCTTACTAATAGGCTAGAAAAGAAACAGGAGCAATTGTAAAATCTCAGCACACAATCCCTACAATGTTGTACAGTTGGGACCCCAAGAGTCATATAGACGAACCCCGCTGCCATGCAGATGCTTTCCCAATATATCCGGTGCAGAATTTATTTATTTTTAAAAAATGTGGTTTGCTTTGTGCAGTTTTCTGGGTTTGGGAAAATCCAAGGGGTCGAAAGGGGGCGGGAGGGAGGGAAAATATATTCCTCCATTCTGCACTAGGCAGAGTTATAAAGGTAAAGGTAAAGGTACCCCTGCCCGTACGGGCCAGTCTTGACAGACTCTAGGGTGGTGCGCTCATCTCACTCTATAGGCCGGGAGCCAGTGCTGTTCGGAGACACTTCCGGGTCACGTGGCCAGCGTGACATCGCTGCTCTGGCGAGCCAGAGCCGCACATGGAAACGCCGTTTACCTTCCCGCTAGTAAGCGGTCCCTATTTATCTACTTGCACCCGGGGGTGCTTTCGAACTGCTAGGTTGGCAGGCGCTGGGACCGAACGACGGGAGCGCACCCCGCCGCGGGGATTCGAACCGCCGACCTTTCGATCGGCAAATCCTAGGCGCTGAGGTTTTACCCACAGCGCCACCCGCATCCCAAGGCAGAGCTATGAGCCCAGCCAAAAAATAAAGAAACGTTCAAGTGTTAGGGAAGTAGAAGGTCTACAAAGAGAAGCATCACTTGATCTGTGCGCCCAAAAAACACTGAATAATCTGCAACCCCGTGCGGCGCGGTTTGGAGCCCCATTTCCCCCCAAATTTATTGGGTTGTCCCCGTACAGTCATACCTCAGGTTACAGATGCTTCAGACTGCGTTTTTTTGTGTTACGGACTGCCGAAACCCGGAATTACTGGAACGGGTTACTTCCGGGTTTCGGCGGTCGTGCATGCACAGAAGCGCTAAATCGTGCTTTGCACATGTGCAGAAACGCCAAGTTGCAACCTGCATGTACGCAGATGTGCCGCTGCAGGTTGGGAATGTGCATCCCGCACAGATCACGTTCACAACCCAAGCGTCCACTGTATTGTGTAAGCCTGAATTTACGAGGCGAAGCATCGAGATTGGTGGTGTTTGAGTGTAAGGCTATGTGAATTTACGGAAATTATACAGGAACGGAAATGGCTGCGTGCGCACAGTGAATTCTGGCATAGGCAAGCCCTCTGTCGACTGTCAGCAAGTCCTTCGGGGTTTCGACAGGACGCCTTTACCTTCCCTACATGGAGATGTCGGAGATTTGAACCTGAGTCCTTCCATGTGCTCTCTGGCACAGACCACGAGAGCCAGGACCACAAGGGACGCGGGTGGCACTGTGGGTTAAACCACAGAGCCAAGGACTTGCCGATCAGAAGGTCGGCGGTTCGAATCCCCGTGACGGGGTGAGCTCCCATTGCTTGGTCCCTGCTCTTGCCAACCTAGCAGTTCGAAAGCACATCAAAGTGCAAGTAGATAAATAGGTACTGCTCCGGCGGGAAGGTAAACGGCCTTTCCGTGCGCTGCTCTGGTTTGCCAGAAGCGGCTTAGTCCTGCTGGCCACATGACCCGGAAGCTGTACGCCGGCTCTCTTGGCCAATAAAGCGAGATGAGTGCTGCAACCCCAGAGTCGGTCACGACTGGACCTAATGGTCAAGGGTCCCATTACCTTTACCTTACCTTCCACGTGCTCTCTGGCACAGACCACGAGAGCCGGGACCACAAGGTGCCTCGACCAATTGCTCATTTTTGGCAATCTCGCCTTGAAGGGGAATGCAGTAAAATCCATTCTCATTTCCACAGGGTGCTATAGGCACTCATCCGTAGGGGTGTGGGGGGGGGGAGTAGAGGGCTGGAGGGCCACAAATCTCTCTTGTCTGGCCCTTGGGGGCTGTTCCCCAGGCCAAATGCCCCAGCCACGCTCCTTGAAAGTCTTTGATCATCTGGAAGAGAACCTTGAACCACAATATACCGTATTTTTCGCTCTATAAGATGCACCAGACCACAAGACGCACCTAGTTTTTGGAGGAGGAAAACAAGAAAAAAATATTCTGAATCTCAGAAGCCAGAACAGCAAGAGGGATCGCTGCGCAGTGAAAGCAGCGATCCCTCTTGCTGTTCTGGCTTCTGGGATAGCTGCGCAGCCTGCATTCGCTCCATAAGACGCACACACATTTCCCCTTACTTTTTAGGAGGGGAAAAGTGAGTCTTCTAGAGCAAAAAATACGGTATGTTCTCTCGCTTGCATGGGAAGATGGCGTTTCTTGACAGCGCAGAGAATTCTGATATTAAAGGTAAGTCGCATCCCGTCGTTTGGAAAACAACCTTCAGACCTGTCCCTCTCTCCCTGGAAGCTCCCCAGGGAAGGAAGGAAGGAAGGAGACAGAAAAGACGAAAGAGAGAAAGACAGAGAGGAGGAGGACAAGTAAGAAAGAGAGGAAGACAGGCAGAGGGAAAATCTCCCAAACAAAAGGAACAGAAGCCGAGTTGTGCCACAAAACAACCCATCCCGTTTTTGTTTTTATTTTAAAGATTCTAAAAAAAAGAGATCAAAACACACAAGAAACAGTTTAGATTTGAACACACAATTAAGGAGAGAGTGAGTTGCGGGGGGAAAGAGACAACCCTACTCCCTCTTGACCCCACCGGAAAAAAATAAAAATAAAAAAATCAGATCGGGGAGAATTAAAAGCAGCAGTAGAGTCCTATTTCTGAAATCCGCGTCTCTTTCCCCAAACGCAGGCACACACAGAAACCCTCATCCACTAAAGGAACGTGCTTAGCAGGAGAAAGGAGGTCCAACTTCACTCTCCAGGCTAAGTTTAAGTGTATTCTTTGGCTGGGGGGGTGGGGAGACACTGTGGGGCTCATCTGCCCCTCTCTCTTTCGGCGAGGAGGCCGGCTTGTCCTCAATACATCACTTCGTAGACGGACGCCTTCTTGTCTCCGGAACCGGTGACGATGAACTGGTCGTCGGTGGAAACGTCGCAGCTGAGGACCGACGAGGATTCCTTGGACTGAAAGTGTGGGTTTTTAAAAAAAGGGAGGGGAAGAGAAAGGGTTAATAATAATAATAATAATAATAATAATAATAATAATTTATTATTTATACCCGCCCATCTGGCTGGGCTTCCCCAGCCACTCTGGGCGGCTTCCAAAAAAAATTTTAAAATACTGTAGTACATCAAACATTAAAAGCTTCCCTAAACAGGGCTGCCTTCAGATGTCTTCTACAAGTTTGGTAGTTGTTGTTCTCTTTGACATCTGATGGGAGGGCGTTCCACAGGGCGGGCGCCACCACCGAGAAGGCCCTCTGCCTGGTTCCCTGTAACTTGGCTTCTCGCAGTGAGGGAGCCGCCAGAAGGCCCTCGGCACTGGACCTCAATGTCCGGGAAGAATGATGGGGGTGGAGACGCTCCTTCAGGTATACAGGACCGAGGCCATTTAGGGCTTTCAAGGTCAGCACCAACACTTGGAATTGTGCTCGGAAACGTGTAGGTCTTTCAAGACTGGTCTTATATGGTCTCGGCGGCTGCTCCCAGTCACCAGTCTGGCTGCTGGTGTTGAAACGAGGCCAGGTTTGGTTTTCACGAGAGCAGGAGGTCACCTTTCTCGCCCCAAACCTCAGGAAACAAAACTTTAAAAACTAAAACCCTCCAATAAATGCTAGGGGAAAAAATGGAAGCAAAAAAGTTGGAAGGAACCCAAAGGTCATCCATCCCAACCCCTCTGCAATGCAGGAATCTCAGCTAAAGCATCGACTGAACTTCTGCCTAAAAGCCTCCAAGGAAAGAGGGAGTCCATCTCCCGATGGAGTCCGTTTTCCCCCTGCTGAAAATTTATTCCTAATCTTTAGTTGGAACCATCACTGAAAGCCGTGGGTTTAAGTCCTACCCTCTAAAGCAGAAGAAAACTAATTTTCTCCATCTGCCCCGCGACAGCCCTGGAAATGTTTGAAGGCGGCTCTCATTATCTCCTCTATCTCCCAGGCTAAACATACCCAGCTCCTTCAACCGTTCCTCATCAGGCTCGGTTTCTGGACCCTTGACCGTCTAGAACAGGGGTCAGCAAACTTTTTCGGCAGGGGGCTGGTCCACTGTCCCTTAGACCTTGTGGGGGGCCGGGTTATATTTTGAAGGAAAAAATGAACGGATTCCTATGCCCCACAAATAACCCAGAGATGCATTTTAAATCAAAGGACACATTCTACTCATGTAAAAACACGCTGATTCGCGGGCCGGATTTAGAAGGTGATTGGGCCGGATCCGGCCCCCGGGCCTTAGTTTGCTTACCCCTGTCTAGAAAAATCAACAACTCTCCAGACAACTTATTTGATCGGAGAAAGGGATGTGCGTTCGGAAGCTAGACGAATTACCACCAATTCTTACGGATAAATGAATTGTTGGTCCACAGCCACTCTGCATAGGTCTCCTCTCTCACCCATCAGCGGCCTGACCCTGCCGCTCTCTTACCTGGAATATGCTGGCCCCATAGGGCGTCCTCCAGGCGTTCAATAAGTTGTCCTTCCCAGTGCTCACGAACCATTTGCCTGTAAAGGGGGGAGAAACAGGCTGTTTGCTGCCTCTCAATAAAGAGAATAATCTCATCTGACCATAGCTGTCAACTTACAGATTTGAAAATAAGGGACCAGCAGCCTCGAAAATAAGGGATCAGCAGCCAAAATAAGGGATTTTCCAAGCACAGGTATGTTCAACTTCTGAGCCCCTCCGAGCCAAAGGCAGAAAGCCCAGCCAGCAGCCAAACGAAGCCTCAAGCGGTGGTTCCCACAGCGCAGCAACCCGGCAAAGGGGATGCAGCAAGGAAAACCACCGTCACCTCTCCGCTGGGAAGCGCTGAGCAAAGGCGAGTCCCCAGGCAACGCGGCCGATTTGATTGGCACAAGGCACGCAAGCTCCACCCCCCGTCGTCCTTAGACTCCTTATTGGGTGAGCAAGGCAGCCAAGCAACACAGCTGGAGCCTCCCTCCTCCCTGGCAGGGAGGGAGGGAGAGGAGCTGCTTCCTTTGAAACCCGGGAAATTTAAGGGACATCATCAGTAAGGGACAGCAGCAGGACACAGCGCGGGGATAAGGGACAGTTGACAGGTATGGCTGGAAGGGGCCCTATCCTGTAGAAGCACACGTCGGTCTGTCTACTCTTTACCTTCTCCCCCGATTTAAAAGCTGCACTTGGCGATTTGAGCTGTTCATAGTACAAAATATGTCTCTTGTGTGATTTTATTCCGTGAACCGCACCAAGACCCTGTGATGAAGGGCAGTACATAAATCAATAATAATAATAATTTTCGCAGAAACCCCAGGCTTACCGCAGGAGGCGAACTTGAGGGAGAGGACGCAGCTCTCGTGGAGGTGGAGCTGGTACTTTTCGGGCTTCGAGACGTGAAGGATCTCGACGTGGCTGCTCTCCATACCGACTGCCAACCACTCCCCTGTGGGGCAGTAACCCAGGGAAAATATCTGGAAGGGCAAGAGTGGGGGGGTGGGGAGATGGGAGACAGTGGCGGCTGAGCCATCAGGGCGAATGGAGCAGTGCAAAACCTACTTCCAGCCTGACTTCTCACTTCAACCGGTCAGGAAGTGGCTCTGCCTGCCATTAGCTCCACAATGACAAACCTGGACAGCATCTTAAAAAGCAGAGACATCACCTTGCCAACAAAGGTCCGTATAGTAAAAGCTATGGTTTTCCCAGTAGTGATGTATGGAAGTGAGAGCTGGACCATAAAGAAGGCTGATCGCCGAAGAATGGATGCTTTTGAATTATGGTGCTGGAGGAGACTCTTGAGAGTCCCATGGACTGCAAGAAGATCAAACCGATCCATTCTGAAGGAAATCAGCCCTGAGTGCTCACTGGAAGGACAGATCCTGAAGCTGAGGCTCCAAGACTTTGGCCACCTCAGGAGAAGAGAAGACTCCCTGGAAAAGACCCTGATGTTGGGAAAGATGGAGGGCACATGGAGAAGGGGACGACAGAGGACGAGATGGTTGGACAGTGTTCTCGAAGCTACCAGCATGAGTTTGACCAAACTGCGGGAGGCAGTGGAAGACTGGCGTGCTCTGGTCCAGGGGGTCACAAAGAGGCGGACACGACTAAACGACTAAACAACAACAACAACAGCTTTAGCGCCACCTACTGGCCAGCTCTCTGCCTCCCGCCCAATCAGGGCTTCAGTGAGACCAGCCATCACTGATGGGCTCAGAGGGAAGAGAACTAAAAGCAGGGCATGCGCCAGGGTTGTGGCCGAGCGGTGGCCACAGTCCCGTGGGTTTCGCAAGCCTCTGCCTTAATTTCAGCCCCCACCAAGTTTTAGTCCTCAGTTCCAGTTGCAACGCGGATGGAGGTGAGAAGCAAAAATGAAAGTGCTGGGCGGATGGTGTAATTATTTCAGTTGCCCGGGACACAGTGATTTCTCTCACACATGCACCCAAGTTTCTAGCCCTCGTTATTATTGACAGGGAACAACTCTTCGAGAAATCAGAGGGCGAGTGGATGGAAATAAGATTGCCAGGAGCTTGGGGACGGAATTTTTTTTTGGAGACTGTAGCACCCCTCTCTGCTCCTCACATTTCTGAATTCTTGTTTTTAAGCTAAAGAAAACATGGAAGAAAAATCCCCGGGGATTTAGCACCTCCCCATGCCAAAAAGGATTTTGAAAACAACAAAAAAAGGCATTTATTTTTTGTTTAAAAAATGATGTGATATGTATAAAGTTATGCCCAGTGCCAAGAGAAGAAAGAAAGCTTTTTCTCCCTTGTTCATAAATCTATAAATTGGTAAGAGATTCAGGGAAGTCCTTGTTCACACAAGGGCTCGTTAACGTATGGAACTCACCGCCACAAGAAAGCGATAGACGCTAACACAGATGTCTTTTTCAAGAGGGTTCTGGGAGGCTGCGTCTATCATTGGCTGCCCAGAGGCCACACCCACTTCAACCAGGTGAGCCTCCTCCCCCTTCTGCCCCCTCCTTTGCCCCCCTCCGCATGCCTGTGAGGTGAAGTCGTGCTGCTGGAGCTGGCGCCCTTCGCGGAGGTCCCAGCACCGCACGGTGTTGTCCAGGCCTCCCGTCCAAAGCTTGGTGCCGTCGTTCGAGATGTCGATGCAACTGGCGCCGTCCGTGTGGCCTTGGAACTGCCTGGAAAGGAAGAGATAAAAGGAGAGTCGCCCAGTATTCCAGGAATGACAGATTAGACACGTTGGAATAATCGATCAGCTGGGTCTCGCACAGCGCTGGTGCTTTGAAGGTCCAATAGACAGCTGAACTTTGGGCCTTCAAAGCACCAGGTGCTATTTTCTGAAAGCACTCAGAACCATAGCTGTCAACTTTTCCCTTTTCTTGTGAGGAATCCTATTCAGAATAAGGGAATTTCCCTTAAAAAAAGGGAAACGTTGACAGCTATGCTCAGAGCCCCTGACTGGCAAATTAAGCAGTTCTTACTTAATGAGGGTGAAAGAGGAGAGCGCAAAATGTGGTCTGAAGCTCAACATCAAAAAAACTAAGATCGTGGCCACTGGTCCCATCACCTCCTGGCAAATAGAAGGGGAAGAAATGGAGGCAGTGAGAGATTTTACTTTCTTGGGCTCTATGATCACTGCAGATGGTGACAGCAGCCATGAAATTAAAAGACGCCTGCTTCTTGGGAGAAAAGCAATGACAAACCTAGACAGCATCTTAAAAAGCAGAGACATCACCTTGTCAACAAAGGTCCGTATAGTAAAAGCTATGGTTTTCCCAGTAGTGATGTATGGAAGTGAGAGCTGGACCATAAAGAAGGCTGATGGCCAAAGAATGGATGCTTTCGAATTCTGGTGCTGGAGGAGACTCTGGAGAGTCCCATGGACTGCAAGAAGATCAAACCTCTCCATTCTGAAGGAAATCAGCCCTGAGTGTTCACTGGAAGGACAGATCCTGAAGCTGAGGCTCCAAGACTTTGGCCACCTCATGAGAAGAGAAGACTCCCTGGAAAAGACCCTGATGTTGGGAAAGATGGAGGGCGCAAGGAGAAGGGGACGACGGAGGACGAGATGGTGGGACAGTGTTCTCGAAGCTACCAGCATGAGTTTGACCAAACTGCGGGAGGCAGTGGAAGACGGGAGGGCCTGGCGTGCTCTGGTCCAGGGGGTCACAAAGAGGAGGACACGACTAAACAACACTCAGGGGTCATCACAGAAGGGTGACATTTTTGCTGGCAAAAAGGCCTTTTTTCTGAAGCAGGTGTCCCACTAAAGCAGTAATTTCGAAAGTTGGTTGTTTAGTGTCTGGTTGGTAGAACGATGGGGGTGGAGATGCTCCTTCAGATATACTGGGCCATTTAGGGCTTTAAAGGTCAGCACCAACACTTTGAATTGTGCTCCAAAATGTACTGGGAGCCAATATAGGTCTTTCAAGACCGGTGCTATGTGGTCTTGGTGTCTGCTCCCAGTCCCCAGTCTACCTGTCGCATTCTGGATTAGTTGCAGTTTCCGGGTCACCTTCAAAGGTAGCCCCATGTAGAGCGCATGGCAGTAGTCCAAGCGGGAGATAACTAGAGCATGCACCACTCTGGCAAGACAGTCCGCAGGCAGGTAGGGTCTCATCCTGCGTACCAGATGGAGCTGCCCTGGACACAGAATTGACCTGCGCCTCCATGGACAGCTGTGAGTCCAGAATGACTCCCAGGCTGCGCACCTGGTCCTTCAGGGGCACAGTTACCCCATTCAGAACCAGAGAGTCCTCCACACCCACCCGCCTCCTTGGACAGACTGCCAGCAGGTAACACTCACCTAACAAGGGTTTGGTTCTGCAGGTCCCAGACCACGATGTTGCCATCGCTGCAGCAGGAAAAGCAGACCTTGGCATCGGGGCTGATGGCGAGGGCATAGCAGGCCGGGGCAGAGGACGTCAGCTCCGCCTTGATCCGGGGAGTCGGCGCCGCCAGGTCCCATATGGAGAGAGTGCTGGCCTCCCCACCCACGATCAAACTTCTGCTGTCGGGGAGCAGCTTGCATGACCGGATGTAGTTTTCTCGGTTCTGTGGCGAGGGAGGAAGAGGTTTAAGGAAGCGGTCGGCACTGTTCGGAATGGCAAAAACGATCAGCGCTCACCCCTGAAGATTGCGAATACAGTTGTACCTCGGAATCTGTTCCGAAGTCCATTTGACTTCGGAAACCAAAGCGCGGCTTCCAATTGGCCGCAGGAAGCTCCAATCGGAAGCCGCGTCGGACGTTCGGGTTCCACAGAACGTTCGCAAACCGGAACGGTCACTTCCGGGTTTGCGGCGTTCGGGAGCCGAAAGGTTCGACTTGCAAGGCGTTCGGGATTCGACTTTAGAGGGAATGGCGATATTCCCAGTTTCTTTCGTAAGCGATAGAAATAGCACACGCAGCACAGAAATATCCCACGCGTCTGAATTCTAGGCCAACCGAATAGGCAAAAGGTTTATTAAGTCACGCTTGGAAAGTAAAATTGCAGGTGGAGTGATCCTGCTCAGGGCTGCAGCCTGCCAGCCACAAACCTTGGTTGGAGACTCCATTCCATGTCCGCTCCCCACACACCTGACCCCATTCCAGCCTTTAAGCAGCTTAAGGTTCACTCTAGGTTAGAATATAATATTGCAAATGGAGTGATTCTGCTCAGGGCTCCAGCCTGCCAGCCACACCCTTTGTCAGAGACTCCATTCCGTGTCCTCTTTCCCTGACCTGACCCCAAACAGAAAGTCATAATTCCAGGCCCATCCCTCATTAACTGATTTAATTTTTAGCGGGTTGACCCTTTGGGTTTTCTCCCCTTCTTGCACATGGAAAGTGCCATTTTTAATGAGAAATGATTGGCACTCACCCCCGAAGATCAGTGCTAGAAGGAATGATGGTGATATATTTATTTTAAAAGACAGGAAGCCATAAAAATGGCAGCCGCAGCAGGAAACCATATTGCAAGGACCATGAGAGCACCCAGGTCCTGGGAGACCCTAGGGATGCACTTGGGAAACCGAGTCACGCAAACCAACGTGCGCACACACACACACACACACACATACGTACCAGGCAGTCCAGCTGCGCCACGGGGGTCTTTGCGCCCGGCTGGGCCACGTCCCACACCTTCACGCAGCCTTTGCCCCCCGTGTAGACGTGCTGCGTGGAATTGCTGATGGTGACGGCGCAGACCACCTCCCCGTGCGTCAGGGTGTGGAGCTGGCGGGCGTGGCGAGGGATGCCCGAGCCGATGAGGGCGTCGGGAGGGAAGGGCACCGGCTGCATCTGCCCGTCGGAGCTGACGTGGAAGGAGTACGCTCTGCGGGGGAAGAGGGGAGAAGGCTTTGGGGGCGAACGGAACGGCCCCCTGTGCTTCGCAAAAAGACCTCGGGGGCCGCAATTCCCTGTGGGGTGAGGCCCCCCTCCAGGGGCCTAGGAAGGCGCAGTGAACTGCCATTCCCCTAAAATCTTTGCTGCCATTGAACTAAATAACAGCACGACTTAAGGAAAAGTTCTGCACCAAACAAGGGAGACCTTGCAAAACGCTGTTGTGGCGTAGGCCTCTCCTGCCCTGCCGGCCAAGCCCTTTTCCCGTAAACTCCGTTCCAGGCCTCTCTGCCACCCCCCAAAAAACCCAAACACAGAACTGCCCACACAAGGGGTTATCTCTGGTTATCTCTCGCTTGGACTACTGCAATGCGCTCTATGTGGGGCTACCTTTGAAGGTGACCCGGAAACTACAACTAATCCAGAATGCGGCAGCTAGACTGGGGACTGGGAGTGGCCGCCGGGACCTCATAACACCGGTCTTGAAAGACCTACACTGGCTCCCAGTACATTTCCAAGCACAATTGAAAGTGTTGGTACTGACCTTTAAAGCCCTAAATGGCCTCGGTCCAGTAAGGAGTGTCTCCACCTCCATCATTTTGCCCGGACACTGAGGTCCAGTGCCGAGGGCCTTCTGGCGGTTCCCTCCCTGCGAGAAGCCAAGTTATAGGGAACCAGGCAGAGGGCCTTCTCGGTGGTGGCGCCTGCCGTATGGAACGCCCTCCCACCAGATGTCAAAGAGAAAAATAACTACCAAACTTTTAGAAGACATCTAAAGGCAGCCCTGTTTAGGGAAGCTTTTAATGTTTAAATAGGTTATTGTATCTTAGCGTTTGTTGGAAGCTGCCCAGAGTGGCTGGGGAAACCCAGCCAGATGGGCGGGGTATAAATAAATAAATTATTATTGTTGTTGTGTTGTTGTTGTCTGTTAGCTTCAGAGGCTCAGACATGGAAACGCAAAGGGGGAGGTTTTTAGACACGGTTTATTGCCATCATTGCTTCGCTTTCGAAGCTCGGCAGTGGGATGCCACCCTCCTCAATCCCCAAATTCGGCCCTTGCTGCGCGCACAGACCCCCACGCCATCACTTACGGCTTTGCTGAAGCCACACCTGTCTGCATCCCTGTCGACAATCCCGGGACTCGCAGGTGAGAGTGAGGGTCGTAGGCAACCTGTTCAGACCAGAGGAGAGGATTTGCTTTGGTTAACAGGAAGCAACGTGAGTTTCACAAAGCCAGCCAGCACTGACTCAAAGTAGGAGCAAACTCTCTATTAGCAAAAACGCAGATTTGGCAGAGTGTCATGGCCTAATGGGCGGAGCAGCTCATCCCTGGCAGGTCTTTCTCCATGGAAACCAGTCGGTTGGACTGGTGTGGGAATGTTCAGGGATGCAGGAGAGGATATATTGTCTGATTATATCCTTCTCCAACTTGTGTTAACAAGTTCTCAAAATATCAGCAGAGTAAAACATTCCCCTTTATCTTAAGTTTGCAACAGGTTTGCTCAGGTTTGCTAGAACCTCTATAATAATCACTCTGGTAATTTCCCCTTTATTCCCTCTTAAAATACAAGACACGACACAGTCCTTTACAAAAGTATAAAAAGAGTTTACTCACATTCTGTTCACATCAGATCCCAGAAGGCAGACTTAAAGCTTAGTGAAGTAATATACATTTAGATTCTATCTTATAAGAAGATAGTCCCTTTCTCCGCTCTTGGCTGGGAGCCAAGAGGGCATCTTTCACTCAGGAGAGATGTTGCTTGTTCGAAGAAGAAGATGGCAGAGAGAGATGGCTGCCCTGCCCTGTGCTTTTATCATTACCTGCACAGGTGAGGCCACACCCACCTCTAGTCACATCTGGAGGAAGACTGTCCCAGCCCAGAGGGGAAACAGGAAGTTTACCTGCTGGCTGGACAAACATCCCTCCCCATGTCTAAACATGTACACTCTAGGAATGTTGTAATTGACTGCTCCTGTGTTTCACATCCCACAAGTGGAAGCGCCCGTCTCCCCATTGTTCCCTCCTTTCCAGGGTTTTTGCCAAGCAATTGGAGACTACGCCTGCGTCAGTCAACCTCTCCTGTACTCTTTTCATGCCTCTCTTGGTTCTGGGAGAGCAGCGGGGAAGGGAGCTCGTCGCAGCGACAGTTAAAAGATCCAGATAATAATTTGAAGCAATGACCCAGCAGCGCAGGATTCCTGCACTGCAGGCATAAAGGTAAAGGGACCCCTGACCGTTAGGTCCAGTCGCGGACGACTCTGGGGTTGCAGCGCTCATCTCGCTTTCTTGGCCAAGGGAGCCAGTGTACAACTTCGGGGTCATGTGGCCAGCAGGACTGAGCCACTTCTGGCCAACCAGAGCACCGCATGGAAACGCCGTTTACCTTCCTGCCGCAGTGGTACCTATTTATCTACTTGTACTGGCGTGCTTTCGAACTGCTAGGTTGGCAGGAGCAGGGATCGAGCAACGGGAGCTCACCCCGTCATTGCGGGGATTCGAACCGCCGACCTTCTGACCGGCAAGTCCTAGGCTCTGTGGTTTAACCCACAGCGCCACCAGCGTCCCTTGCAGGCATAGAACTCTACAATTCTATGACAAGCTACAAAATCAGATTGCAACACAGGCCAATATTCTACACACCTGGTTTGGGCTTGAACAGGCGGGAAAATGTTTTCAGCTGGTGCCGAAATAAGCAGAGAGTGTCAAAGGGCCACCACGGCAAAAAATCAGTTTCTTAACAATGCAGGATAACGAAAAAGGCTTCTTCCCATGGGGAGATGGCCATTTACCACTTCTCAAGAAATAAATCATTTGCTGCTACTTCAATCCGCCCTCGATTTCACAACCATGAAGACCAGACACTTTTCAGTTTTAGGTGGAAGGTTTTAATTCAGTGGCAGAGTGGCCAGTCTTCAGCTGGCCCCGGGTGCAACTCCCTGGCATCTCTGGGTTCGGCTAAGCCTGGCACCTGAAAACCTGGGGAGCTGCTGCCAGCCAGTGTACGCAGCACTGGTCTAGATGGGCTTCGACTCGGGTCGGACTTAGCTTTCGTTCAGAAACTTGAGGACTGGAACCTTGCATTTTGCTCATTGGCAGTCTCAACCCACAGCATCTATAGGCTGGGCCGAGCACGTTCCCCCTGCCTGAAATGCTGGAGAGATGCTGCCAACCTGTGTAGGCAGCACTGGTCTAGATGGAGCAAGGGTCTGGCTCAGCATAGGGCAGACCCCTCTCGTTTCCCTAACCGGCAATGGCCGAAACACTCACCAGAGGGGAGCGCCCGTAGCTGGCGGCCCCCACGACCGCCGCCCCATTGAGCTGGGGGGTTACCAAGTGCAGCCCCGCGTAAGGCCCCGCGCTCGCCATGTCGCCGTTGACGGACGCATGCGCCACGTTGAAGGCGGCTTGGTAGGAGCTCTGGACCGTGAGTGGATTTCGCAGGCTCAGGGCTGAAGTGGAAGAAAAGGTTTAAGGAATAGATGAGAGATAAAGGTAAAGGGATGGGACGCGGGTGGCGCTGTGGGTTAAACCACAAAGCCTAGAACTTGCCGATCAGAAGGTCGGCGGTTCAAATCCCCGCAATGATGGGGTGAGCTCCCGTTGCTCGGTCCCTGCTCCTGCCAACCTAGCAGTTCGAAAGCACGTCAAAGTGCAAGTAGATCAATAGGTACCGCTCCGACAGGAAGGTAAACGGCATTTCCGTGCGCTGCTCTGGTTTGCCAGAAGCGGCTTAGTCATGCTGGCCACATGACCCGGAAGCAGTACGCTGTAAAGGGACCCCTGACCATTAGGTCCAGTCGTGACCGACTCTGGGGTTGCGGCGCTCATCTCGCTTTATTGGCCAAGGGAGCCGGCGTACAGCTTCCGGGTCATGTGGCCAGCAGGACTAAGCCGCTTCTGGCGAACCAGAGCAGCACACAGAAACGCCATTTACCTTCCCGCTGGAGCGGTACCTATTTATCTACTTGCAATTTGTGCTTTCAAACTGCTAGGTTGGCAGGAGCAGGGACCGAGCAACGGGAGCTCACCCCGTCATTGCGGGGATTCGAACCGCCAACCTTCTGATCGGCAAGCCCTAGGCTCTGTGGTTTAACCCACAGCGCCACCCGCGTCCCACAATGGATTATTAGGATATAATAATAAGCACTCCATTAAACATGGCGAGGTTTAATCTGGCGAGTGCTTCACACAGCAGTTTAGCAAGCTGTTCGTGTGAAGCTGTTTTGCTGCTCTGTGGAGCACACAGAGGCTCTGCAAGCTTCGCAGTGCCTCCGCCTCCATTAAAAAGTTCGCCTGGGCTCCCTGCCCTGCTTGCTTGCTTTCTCTCTCTCCTGCCTGCTGCTCATCACACCGGAGTTGGAGTGGCCCCCTACTGGCGGCCGCAGGAACTGCAGCGTGACGACAACCTTACAACCTTATTTCTATAGCAAGAAAAAGCCAAAAGGACTTGAAGGCCAGTTTGACAGCAGGTCACACACCTCCCCACTCTGCCCCGCCCAAATCACAGACCCGCTTCCGATCTCCCCCAAATTACCGAGAGATTCCACCGTCTGCTTCGCGACCCCTGGACGAAGCTGGGGCGTGCTGCTGCTGGAGGATCCCGGCGCTGTCCCTTCGCCTTGGGAAGTCGGGGTGCTGGACTTCAAACCGGGGGTGCCTGCTTTCTCTACCTGGAAGGTATTACTGCTTTAATTTCATTTATTTATTTATACCTCTGCCCCCATCCCTTTCTCAGAGAAGCTCAGGGAGAGCGGACAAAGTCCTTCCCACTCTTAAAAGAAGAAAAAATCACAATGACAACTGAGGTCTAGCTCGAGGTGTGTGTGTGTCTTCTGGTGGTTGTGTCTCTGCGAAACGTGAGGCATAGCTGTCAACTTACAGATTTGAAAATAAGGGACCAGCAGCCTCGAAAATAAGGGATCAGCAGCCAAAATAAGGGATTTTAGTCAACCAGCAGCCAAACGAAGCCTCAAGCGGTGGTTCCCACAGCGCAGCAACCCGGCAAAGGGGATGCAGCAAGGAAAACCACCGTCACCTCTCCGCTGGGAAGCGCTGAGCAAGGGCGAGTCCCCAGGCAATGCGGCCAATTTGATTGCCACAAGGCATGCAAGCTCTACCCCCCAGTCATTCTCAGACTCCTTATTGGGTCAGCAACGCAGCCAAGCAACACAGCTGGAGCCTCCCTCCTCCCTGGCCGGCGGGGAGGGAGGGAGAGGAGCTGCTTCCTTTGAAACCCGGGAAATTTAAGGGACATCATCAATAAGGGACAGCAGCGGGACACGGCGCTGGGATAAGGGACTTTCCCGCCAAATAAGGGACGATTGGCAGCTATGACGTGAGGTGGCAGGGCCTTCTCGGTAGTGGCACCCTCCCATCAGATGTCAAGGAAATAAACAATGGCGTGGGCTTTTAGAAGACATCTGAAGGCAGCCTTGTACAGGGAAATTTTTAAGCTTTACTGTGGCTTCATAATTCGATGGAAGCAAATTTATTATATTATAAATATAACATCACCAAACATGATGAGCTCCGAATATCTGAAGAACCATCTGTTCCGACCAGGTCTGCTGGACGTTTATGGTGTTTTCAAGGTTCAAGGTGTCACTACCAGCGTGTAAAGCCCTTCGCAACTCGGGACCAGTTTCCCTGCGAGTTTGTTTTCCTACTCTAAGCGGCATATAAACGTACAAAATCCATCAAAAAAAGCCAAGACGTTCGTGGAAACAGGACGAGAACGGGCTGCTCTGTGCCTCAATTGTCGGGGCTCCCCCCCAAAAAAAATGCTCCCTGGATCCCCTGGACGCAGGAAGGCGTAGATCCCACGAAATTACGCACGTACCGTGACCACCTCCTTGGTGATCCGGGGTGGGGAGGAACTGCAAGATGTGGGGCTGAGTTGCATGGATTCCTTCCTCTGCAGGGAGATTTTATCAACCCCGTTTTCCCGGGAGGAGAAGGAATTGACGCTGTGGGGCGAGGAGGGATCCTGGTATGGGGAAAACAGAAAGAGAGAGAGAGAGAGAGAGAGTGGGAGAGAGAGAGAGAGACAGACAGACAGGTATCAGAGGTCCTTTCCAACTACCATATTTTTTGCTCTATAAGACCCACTTTTTCCCTCCTAAAAAGTAAGGGGAAATGTGTATGCGTCTTATGGAGCGAATGCAGGCTGCGCAGCTATCCCAGAAGCCAGAACAGCAAGAGAGATTGCTGCTTTCACTGCCCAACGATCCCTCTTGCTGTTCTGGCTTCTGAGATTCAGAATATTTTTTTCTTGTTTTCCTCCTCCAAAAACCAGGTGCGTCTTGTGGTCTGGTGCGTCTTATAGAGCGAAAAATACGGTAAATAATTCCTGTTCAGATATCTGCTTTCTGCAAACCTCAAACAAAATTCTCAGCAGCCAATACTGGGGCACCGAACGAGCAAAACGGGCTTTGGCTTGTGAAGCGGGACTAACCCCCTTCTAGTTTAATTTGAATTCAGCCTGATCTTTTATTTCCTTTCTCTTCCCTTTTATGAAGATCACCCACTCTGAGACCCCACAGCTAATTCTACCCGGGCCTCCTCGCTGGCCCAAGTTGGACCAATTCAGCCAGCTAGCCCTGGGGATCATCTGATTGATTTTCGGTTTTTATTGTTATTCACATTTTTATACCGTACTTTACGCTGCTTTTATAATTAAGTGTTTTAAGTAAAGGTAAAGGGACCCCTGACCATTAGGTCCAGTCGCGAAGGACTCTGGGGTTGCGGCGCTCATCTCGCTTTACTGGCCGAGGGAGCCGGCGTCCAGCTTCCGGGTCATGTGGCCAACATGACTAAGCCGCTTCTGGCGAAGCAGAGCAGCGCACGTAAACGCCGTTTGCCTTCCCGCCAGAGTGGTACCTATTTATCTATTTGCACTTTGACGTGCTTTTGAACTGCTAGGTTGGCAGGAGCAGGGACCGAGCAACGGGAGCTCACCCCGTCATGGCAATTCGAACCGCCAACCTTCCGATCGGCAAGCTCTAGCCTCAGTGGTTTACACCACAGCGCCACCTGCATCCCTCCCTTACCCTTAAAGGTAAAGGTAAAGGGACCCCTGACCATTAGGTCCAGTCGTGGCCGACTCTGGGGTTGCGGCGCTCATCTCGCTTTACTGGCCGAGGGAGCCGGCATACAGCTTCCGGGTCATGTGGCCAGCATGACTAAGCCGCTTCT